TGAGTTTCTGGATCGCTGGGGGTAAACTTCGTCACTCCTACCATGTTACATTTTAAGTCCAGTGACAGAATCGGCTAAAAAAAGAAGAATTTCCTGCCAGAAATATCTTGACGAGTAAACAGACTCACCATGCTGGATAAATCCAGGCAAATGAAGCCGATTTATTCTGTTCCTAGAAGTCTGCGCCCTACATAGTCCAGATAAAAATTAGAAAAAACTCGTCACTGGTGAACATTGGTGAAACCAACTGATCAGAAAGAATGTTTAGGTCACAATTTTTATCGAAAAAAAAACCCGTGAGCATACAGCCAACACTTAGAGTATTTACATACAATCTAGATATGTACAAAAACAAAACATATTTAGCAGATATTTGAAAGGTATACAAGGTAGGCATTAGCAAGAAGAAATCATAGAGTTTATAAAAATCCAGTAAATGCTAATGTGTAATGTCAACAAGATGATTTAACAGAAAACAAACAAAAATATAAAATAAAATACAGGCACATGCTGATATTTATTTGCACTCATTCCCTAATCTTAATCCTTAATCAAAACGCTTCTTGTACAGCCCGCCACCATTCGACTATCCTGTAACTATGCTTATCACCGCATAGAAATAAATGGACGCGTGTTTTCTGATAATGTGCGAAGCAAATAACCATACGGCAAATTAAAACTTTTGCGTTATATGGCTCACTAATATGAAGTAAGAAGATTTAGCATCACTCTAGCACAACGAATTTTCACTTTTCAGCACTTCGCAATGATTGCAGTATTAACCTAGAGTAGGCTGAAATCTATATTCTTCATATATATATCCATATTTGCTCCTCGATCAACATTAAATGAACCTAAACTTAAATTACACCAGAATCTCCGATTTCTTATCTGTAAAATTAACAGGATCTAGGCAAGTCAGGGCTCACTACCAAGTCATGTTATTGAACTCTTAATAGTAGCAATCTTCCTATTGTTCAAAGGCAGCCTTTTTCTTTCTCGGAAAATCCCAAATGAGACGACTCGTCGCGTTAACATATACCAGAAAGCCCGTAAGCTAAAAACTTTGAAAAGGGTCTTAACAAATTGCTACCCTCAAGCAGGCGATCTTAGTCAAAATATGACTTGCTAAAGGATTTCTACACAAAGAAGCCAAGATAAAGCAGAAGCAATAGTAAGAACTAGAAAGTTTTGGAAAACTAAATAATCTTGTGTTTTTCTATGATTGAGTAACGGGTGCTTTTTTTCTTCACATGAATGGTGAATTTTCTTCAATGAATGAGAAGGTTTTGGCTATAAAGCCTTTATCGATACAGATTTATGAAAAGTTGATTTTTCAAACAATAATTTAAGTTGTTGTTCATTTATTGGTTAGAAGATCGAATAACATGCGCCAAAATATTAGAATTGGAGCTTAATTAAGAGAATGTCACTACAGCATTCAACTGGGATGAAATCGTCTCCCACATAAAACACGCAAAATGCTAAGCCCATTCCAAATTCTAGTAAAAACTTCTACTAAAACCAGAGATAAAACTTAGAATGCAAGGTGAAAAGGAATATTTGATGAGAGGAAAACAATGAGCAACTAAGAAGCAGCAATGACGACACAAATGACACTAAGGACGAATTTCAAAGCAGTGAGGTCCTTCTACAGAAGCAGGTCATGACTCCCATGTGCTACAAATAATATTGAAACGAGCGGCTTTGAAGAACAGCATACCATAAAGACTACGCAATCGCTGATAAGGCTGAACAAAAACCAAAGGTTCTTTATTCCGAATCGCCATTACTTCGAAAATCAACTCTTAATACCCATAGTTCCGTGGTATCCTGCTCTTCTTCCGCCATTGAACACTCCTTCTCCTTCCTCACTGCCCCCTAATCTAGGACTGCGATGACGTCATAGCTCAGCATTAACAATAACTCATCCTTCTCTTCACCAACGTCTTGTACGCGATCCCAGTTGAAGGGAACAAGCTTGAATTGATTTGATTGATAGTATGCACCTTTATAGCGTACCCATCGTTGCTCATCTCCATTGCTTGATCTTTTCAAGGCAGGGATGTGCCGACCTATTAGCATTCTCTGATTTCTGTATCTTTTGCTATGACTTATAGTTGAATTCACCATTTATGTGAATCTGCTATTACAGTTGGGTCAGATATTCTAACAAGCTTTGCTTCTATCATCGTGAGAGTACTACCACTGCAGCGACGTTGGCTCAAAAAAAAAAACGCAAAGAGCTTCGAAAAACATAAGAGCCCAGCCTACGCCCTAACAAAAAACTACCGATTTCCACTACGGGCGCCATCTTTCGCCTAAGGCTACATAACAAGATTTAGCCAGTATAGACGTTATATTTTTAAAATTTATATCCAATTTATTTTCTCTCTGGTAAGACGAAATGATCAGAAACGTCAATGCGATCTTATCTTTTGATCACAGAATTGAAGAATCTGAATGGCTCATATTCTGTGATGTACTGAGTATTTATCTCTCTTCTCCAAAATTAGACAACTAACGAAAGAGAAGTAAAAAGAGCATTATAATCCCACTATTTGTCAATAATTGATAACTCGAAAAATAGGATTGAAAAGCAGAAGAAAGACTTGAAATAATAGTCCACTGCAACAAAGTAAATAACCTGTAGTGCAATGTGAAAAGAACTCAAACCCCTACTAACTGACTCACAATGGCTGAATCGAAGCCACTTTGAGACATATGATCGGGGCCCTATACAATAATTGCTTTAAATAGCACGGTAAGTGTTCGACCACGTATACTACGCATGATCTATTTCATTTAATGATTTCCTAAAAATTCACGAAAATCTGCTTAAAACCCTGAAACGCGCTCTTGATTATCTGATCAGATATTATACTTTAAAACAATTCCTAGAAAAATTTACAGTTCACTGTGCCTTCTTCTTCAGGACGCCCGTTGCTTTTTGAAATCTCGCAAACTCAGCATCGTTCATGAAGACGTCAAAGACAAGATGCGAATCAGTGCTCGACGGTTCTTGAGCCACAAAGCCCTCTCTGAATTATATCAGTCATTTTTCCTTGAATATTTTTTTTTCAAAACGACAACAACTTACTTGTAGAGATATGGTATAGCTGGTGATGAGAATTTGAGCCTCA